ATGTTCTATGTGATGGTTTCTTAAAGAGTTACACAAAGTGGACATGACATGGTGAATTAATAGACATGTCAAATGTACATGTGTCTGAAACAGAAATTGATGTAGAGATGATGATCGACTTGAAGAAATGATTGATGATGTTGAACATGATGCGTTCCAGCGTGCACATGTGTGTATGATAATTTGTGCAATGATGCGAAGAAACTTTTGTATGCAGGATGCACTAATTTCACACAATTGTCAGTAATATTGAAATTGTTCAATGTGAAGGTAAGAAATGGGTGAACTAATAAAAGTTTCACATAATTACTTGAGTTTCTTAGTGACATGCTTCTTAAAGGGAACATATTGTCGACACGTAATTATGATGCAAAGAAAATATTTTGTCTAATGGATATGGAGTATAAAAAAATACACGTATGTTGGAATGATTGTATATTGCATAAAAAAGAGTTTGACAAATTACACTAATGTGAAAGCATTGTGGGGAGGTTGAAAGCACTATGGGAAGATTGATAGTAATGTGAAACATTTTCCTACATTCTGAAGAAGATGATTTCGGTAAAGATTCAAGTCAACACCATTCAAGACTCAAGCAAACCCAAGATGAAGCATGAAGACTAGATAATGTCTTAGAACACTAGATATAGAGGTACAAGTTGATGAAGTAGTATTATGCATAAGTCTCCAAAGCACAAGTGTGGTAAAATTTTGTAATATGATATTTTTCACTATCATAATCGATTATGTGAGGGTCATAATCGGTTATATCATCAAATAAACGTAATATAACATTTTTCTCTTTCATAATCGATTATACTGGTAACATAATCAATTATGACAGTTTAAATTTGAAAAATATATCCATTTTTGAATAATAAATATTTTTAGATACAATCGTGATTTTTCTCTATGAAATTATTAATGACCAACAATTATTTTTTGATGTTATTTTCCTATTTAAATGAGTTTTGATGAAAAATAAAAAAATACACAATCACGAATTCGAAAATACAGCTTACGGACATTCGAGTTTTAAGAAAATCATTCTGAGCAAGGAAACAAAGATATTTTGCATTTTCTGAGAGAACCTTTTTCCCTATTGCCTTTTGTGCTTTTATTGTTAATCACGCTTGTTCTTTGAGGTTGACATTCTACAAACTTTTACAATTTGTTGTCTCCATTACCAGGTGTGACTGTTCTTATTTTATTGATTGTGTTTCTTGATCAGTGTGCTTCTGTGTTTGAAGTTTCTACTGTGAGAAACTGTTCATCCCTAGTGTGATTCTAGGGAGGTTTTCATCCTTTATGGGTTGGTTGCAAATGAGGTGTTTTTCATCCCTTTGATTTGTTCAGGGAGGTATTCATCCTTAGTGAGATTTTAAGGAGATGTTTTCATCCCTTTGATTTGTTCAAAGAGGTGTTCATCCTTAATGGGATTCTAAGGAGGTGTTTTCATCCCTTTGATTTGTTCGGGGAGCTGTTAATCTTTTGTGGGGTTACAAAGGAGGTGATTCATCTCAAGTGTGATTCTTGAGAGGTGTGAGTTTCCTTTGTGGGAACTGTTCATCATTTTATTTGTTTAGGGTAGGTGTTCATCTCTAGTGGGATTCTAGAGAGGTGATTATCTTTTTAATTAGTTTGCTTTTTACTGGTTCTTCTGTAAGGTTAATTGTAATTTGTAAACTAAATTTTAAAGAGAGTGAATTAGGTTGTCTCTCCCGTATTAAAGGAGATAGGACACTGGATGAAGGGTTGGCTTGACCCGAACCAGTATAAATTTTTTGGTATTTTTCTCTTCCTTATACCTCTATGCTTATATCTACTTATTTCCTTTCCTTTATCTCTCTATTATATCCCTTCCACTTTATATGTATTTGATCTGATAATTAAAATTAAATTAATAAATTATTGGATATTTTAAATAAATTTTTAATTTGATATCTAATTTAATCAGTGCATCTATTTACCCCTCTAAATATCATTTGTTTAACAAAATGGACAAAATTATAGATAATTTAAAAATTAAATTTTAAGTATTTAAACGAAAAAAACAATATTTTGACCTATTCATTATAGAACATACAATATAAACGTATATAGTTTTAATGAAAACATATTTTCATTTACAAACAATTATCCGATGTGTAATTAATTCGAAACACAAGTTACACTTGTAAAAAAAATATTTGTGAAGCAAATTTATATTTTCAATAAAAATTTAATTAATTATGTTACAAATTTTATTTTGAATATTAATGAAATGAGTTATAGTACAAGTTATTTTAATTAAACTAATTAATTAAGATACAACTTATCCTTTTTAATAGTAATTATTACACTTTCGAAAACAAATTGTACCATAATTATCTAATTACTAATGAAAAGATTATTTCTTTACAGTTGATTAAATTACAAATAAAAATAGATAACTTTTAAATCAATAATTTTATTTTAAAAAATGATAATTTGTAGGATAAAACACGCATTTGATCTTTACAAGCTTTTCGAATTATATTTTAGCCATTTGTTGTCAATTTTTGGTCCCTATAATTTGATGTATTTATAAACTAAGTAGTTTACATGACGTTATATAGATGTTGTTTAGAGGAACAAAAGTGGTGCATTATTAAATTATAAAAAAAATTAAAAAATAGATAAAATGATTAAATTGAAATTTTAAATAAAATTAAGAACTAAAAACATGTTTTTAACCTGATTAAAGCCATTAATATTAAGAGGTAAATTCTAACATTATAATTTTAATTTAAAAAATATAACCTAATTAAATTTATTATTATTATTATTATTATTATTATTATTAAATTTAAAAATATAAAATATAATATAAAATATAGGATGAATAATGATTAAAATAATATAAAATATAATAAAATAATTATTATTTGACTTAATTTATATAAGATAAAATAATTAAAATATATTATATTTTTATAAAAAATTATATTAAAAAATTGATTCTATTTTTTATATTTTTTTACTAAAATCGGTTGGAATAAAAAATTCAATTGATTTTTTTAATTTTACCAATTTTGTCTCAATTTAATTAAATCTGATTATTTAGAAGTAATTGATAATTTTTATTTCCGATTACTGATTTTAAAATATTTATGTCTATTGTAAACACATTTATAATGGAAACATAGTTATGTAAATTGACAATACCCAATTAAAACGTGTTTATATTAATTAATTTAAATTCATATCGTATAATACATTATAATTATATTTTCGTCCAAAGACACACGTGGGTAAAGGGTAGGATGTGAACATAGAAAAATCAGGTGTGAGAACAATGACCTAAAATTTTTGGCATACAGTTTTAACTTTCTTATCCAGGTCCATCAACGGCCCAATAAAATTATTTTGTTTGAAAATCAACCCTACTTTGGACCCAATAAAAAATAACTCTCTGAATTGAAATATGTCTTTTTTTTTGTAATTGGACCTGCAAACTTAGTTCTGAATTGTATACAATACAAACAAGAAAACCCACTTAACACTCAATATTAAGAAACAAATATTATTTGGTCTCCCTAATATTAAGAATAAAAAAAAATTTCAAATCTAAGTTGATTTTTTATTACTGAACATTTTATTTTAGCTAAATAAAATTATAAATTATTATTTGTAGATTAGTTCAAACGAATCACTCTACCGCGTATTTAGAAAATAATAAGACAAATTAATATTTTAATTCATTAGTTTTTTTTTTTTTTATCGTCTAACCAATCAACTCAACTGGTCAAGGTACGGGTTGACTTGTTTTTTTTTAAATATTTATATATTAAAATTAAAATAATTATTAATTTAAAATATTTTTTTATTATAATATTAAAATATATAAATATATTATAATATTATAATTTAAATTATAAATATTAATTAATTAAGTTTAAATTATTAATTATAAATAATTATTTTAATACATAAATATAATAATTTTATCAATTTATTTAATACAAATTTAAAAATTATTCATATATATTTTAAAAAAATATAAATAAAATCTATCTCATCTACTGACTCACTTTGTCATATTGATTACAAAGTAAATTAAAATATTAATAACATAATTTATTTTAAGTGAAACTATCACTGTACTTCCAATTTTTTCTATCATATATATATATATATATATATATATTTTTTTTAATTATATTAAAATTAATTTAAAAATTATTTATATTTTAAAAAGTATTTATGTAATTAATAAAATGTAATATAATATGTACAAATACTTTTTATTTATTAACTAAATAAGTTGTATGAGTTAATTTAGCATTTATGTCATACATTATTAATGACTTTTTTTATCACATCATTAATCAACTAAGAATAATTGATAGTTAATTAGATAATATATATTTTCTTAGTTCTTAATATAAGATATTTCTAATAAAATTGAACATATCAATAAAAATAATTAATTTAAACGATTTTTAAAATATTATAAATGAATAAAATTAATCTTTATTATTAATGACTTTAAAATTCTATTCTCATTGTTTATTATTAATATAAAATACAAATACACCTAACATTCAATAAAAATAAATAAAGGAAACAAATTAAAGTTGTATAAAAATTATAATCTATTATATAAAAAATAACAAATTTTCAAATGTAACTTGTAGTAGGGAGAACATCCAATATTTTCCATTTTCTTATTATGTACTTTTATAATTTAAATGCAATATTTTTTATATTAATTAAATTATAACCTACATATATCACCATCACATCACCACAAATGATCTGCAACATTGAGATGTAGACACCTCACATCACATTACTTCTGAGAAAGACTTTCAAAAACTTTCTTTCTTTATTCGATCTCATTTTGGGAGTGATGAAAAGATAGAGCCTTTGGCTTTGTGTCTTCTTACTGGCTTGACACGGTTGTTAGAACATCTTCAAACATTGGTCCTTTCCACTACTCATCCTTCACCTCACTCTCTTCACACCACAACAAAAAAATGCAGGTCAGAAACCCACACGCAGTGTTGACCCCATTTCCAGTTCAAGGTCATATAAGCTCTTTGTTCCGACTAGCAAAGTTGCTTCATCTTAGAGGCTTTCGCATTACCTTTGTCCACACTGAATACAACTACAAACGCTTGCTCAATTCAAGAGGTCTTAAAGCCCTTGATGGCATTCCAGATTTTCATTTTGAGACCATCCCAGATGGTCTTCCTCCCAATGATGATGTTGATGTCACTCAAGACGTAGTGGCCCTTTGTAAATCAGTGACAGAGACCTTTTTCCTACCCTTTCGTGAACTTCTTGCTAGACTCTATGATTCTGCCACTGCCGGCATTATACCTCCAATTACTTGCTTGGTTTCTGATTTGTCCATGACTTTTACTACGCAAGCTGCTCATGAACTAGCACTCCCTATTGTTCTATTTTCACCTGCTAGTGCCTGCAGCTTAATGGCTACTTTGCACTACCGTGAGCTTTATGATAAAGGTCTCATACCACTCAAAGGTATGTACGATGTATAAAGCTCTTTCTGAAGAAAGTCGATGAACAAATAATGTATGTACTGAGATATCAGTTGTTGCTTTTCCCTGAAAGACAGAAATTACTGCTTTACTTTATCTTGTCTTACTATAGAGAAGTTTTCTGGCATTAGCTATGGCATCCATTCGGGAAGACCGATCAGAATCTTAATATAAATTTAAAATATGTAATATAGTCCTTGGAAAAGTTATTTAAACGTTAGCTTTCAATTTCTACTAGTTGCAACTAATGGATGCGTGCTAATGAATAAATTTTCATCTGTAATTATGTGGAACTTGTAACTGTTGACTTTGTAATCATGATTGCAGATGAGAGTTATTGGACAAATGGGTATTTGGACACCAAAGTGGACTGGATTCCAGGCATGAAAAACTTTAGACTAAAGGACCTGCCTCACTTTCTAAGGACAAAAGATCCAAATAACATTCTGGTAGATTTTCTCATTGATATGGCAGATAATGTGCACAAAACCTCTGCTATCGTTATAAACACTTTTGATGAACTTGAGAAAGATGTATTGAATGCTTCATCTTCTATGCTCCCTGCTGTTTATCCCATTGGCCCTTTCAATTCATTTTTAAATCAAAGTCCGCAGAATCACTTGGAACCATTAGGTTCCAATCTTTGGAAGGAAGATACTGAGTGCCTTGAATGGCTTAAATTCAAGGAGCCTAATTCTGTTGTTTATGTGAATTTTGGTAGCATCACAGTAATGTCTCGGGAGCAACTTTTGGAGTTTGCTTGGGGTTTGGCCAACAGCAAGAGACCCTTTTTGTGGATCATTAGGCCTGACCTTGTCATAGGTGGCTCAGTTATTTTGTCATCTGAGTTTGTCAATGAGACATCAGATAGAGGCCTAATTGTAAGCTGGTGTCCACAAGAGCAAGTGCTGAACCACCCTTCACTTGGTGGATTCTTGACTCATTGTGGATGGAACTCAACAACTGAAAGCATTTGTGCTGGTGTGCCAATGTTGTGTTGGCCATTTTTTGCTGACCAGCCAACAAACTGCAGAAATATTTGCAATGACTGGGGCATTGGGATTGAAATTGACACCAATGTGAAGTGAAAGGAGGTGGAGAAACTGGTCAATGAATTGATAGTGGGAGAAAAAGGGAAGAATATGAGGCAAAAGGTCATGCAGTTGAAGGAAAAGGCAGAGGAGGATACTAGATCTGGTGGTCTTTCATACATGAACTTGGACAAAGTGATCAGTGAAATGTTGCTCAAATCTGTGTGATGAGTCATTGATCTTCTCTTGAATTTGTTGCTTTGTGAAGCTAAAATGATACCTCAGGTAGAAGTCATATTTATATTTAAAATGTATATAAGCTGTAATGAGGGTGCAGACAGAAAATGGGCCGGAAACCGTTAGTGACAAGTCAATGAGAGGGAAACACGTGGATGATAACAGGGACAACAAGAGAAGCGCACAATCCAATAGAAAGAGTGTGTGGTTGAAGGACTATGTGACCTAGCAACAGGGTTTAAAAGGGTAAAACCGTTAGAGGAGAGAAGGGGAGGAAAATTGTTGAATTCATCTCTCTACGATTCACTTTTCCTTATTTTATGATGTTTTTGTGTTCTGGGCTGATATGAACCTTTGAATGAAATAATTCTATTACCTCTCTATTGTGTTGCTATTATTGTTTCGTTTTTTTGGTATTTGCGTTATTATTACATTGGTGCTTTCATTCTAGTTCATGGCGGAGAATACCAGATTGAAGGAGCTCCAAGGGGAGTTGACTCGTATTAAGGATTCGATGAAGCACTTGGCATCTACAATGGTTGTGATAGATAAGGATTTGAAGACCTTGATTGCTGCTCTTCTTGAGCGTCAACATGACGACTCTACTCGTTTCGAGACACTCAAAACTTCTATGGATTCAATTTTGAAAGTGATGCAAAATCTAGATACAGGTAACCGAGTTTCATCTTCTCCATCATTCCAAGTTCGCAATGTCAAACTGAATTTCCCTAAGTTTGATGGTTCCAACGTGCTACAATGGATCTTCAAGGCAGAACAATTTTTTGATTACTACAAAACACATGATGATCAACATTTACTCATTGCCTCAGTTCATTTGGAAAAAGAGGTCGTGCCATGGTTTCAAATGCAAGCTCGCAATCATGCTTTTCCGACTTGGGTTGCGTTCACGAGAGCGTTGAAATTGGAATTCGGGCCTTCACCTTATGAATGCCCTCGTTCAGATTTATTCAAGCTCACACAGGCAAGATCAGTGCACGATTATTACGTTAAATTCACAAAGCAAATCGTGTTCAAGGGATTACATCAGAGGCTCTCTTGGATTGTTTTGTAGGAGGGTTACGTCAAGACATCCACCATGACGTACTAGTCCAAGACCCAAAAACCTTAATGAGGTGTGTATCCTTGACCAAATTATTCGAAGAAAAGTATTTTGTCCAACAAATATTTTATGGGTCCAAGAGTTCTCCGCAGAATCAATTAATCCCTAACATAACACATTCACCGAAAACCACATCATTATCGCCCTTGTTACACAAGAACACCCCACCTCCTCCCTCAAACAAGGCTATGGTCAAGAAGTTATCTCCAGCCGAGGTTCAATTATGACGTGAAAAAGGTCTATGTTTCACTTGCGATGAAAAGTATTTGCCATCTCATAGATGTCCCAACAAGCAGTACTTATGGTTGCATTTTGACGAAGACGATTCAATAGCTGATTAAACACTTGAGGAAAGTGTTTTGGAGGACAATATTGACCCTCAACCTCCACCCGAACCACACCTGTCGGTTAATGCCCTTAACGACTCTGACGGTATTACCACTATGCGATTTAAGGGGGTTATTAATGGACTGCCAATTCAGATTCTCTTGGATAGTGGGAGTTTAGATAATTTTTTACAACCCATAATTGTTGCTTGTCTTAAGCTACCAGTTGAACCAATTGAAAATTTTAATGTTATGGTGGGTAATGGAAGTGCTTTGGTGGTGAAGGGATTCATAAAAAACTTGAATGTTAACATCCAAAACCACACAATTCAGATACCAACATTCTTACTCCCTATATTCGGTGTAGATTTGGTTCTGAGAGCTTCCTGGTTAGCAACAATAGGAGCTCATATTTCCGACTATAGCAAGTTATCATTGAAATCCATGCTAAATGATAAATTTGTAACCTTACGAGAAGAACAACCAAAGTTACTAGCACCAACTCAATTTAATCATTTTAGGAGAATGTTTCACACGAATGCTATTGAGGAAATGTATTGTCTTCAGTTTCAAAATTACAACACTGCACAAGATCAGTTTCTCGAACTACCAGTTGATATGGAGCTCGAGATAGCTCTGCTGCTGCATACCTATAAAGAGGTTTTTGCTGAGCCAAGTGGTCTTCCTCCCCACAGATCTCATACACATACCATGTGTTTATAACAAGGTTCAAATCCACTTAAAGTGAGGCCATATCAATACCCATTTAGCCAAAAGCAGCAAATTGAAACTATGGTTTAGGAGATGCTACAAACAGGAATAATTGTGCCAAGCATTAGACCTTTCTCTTCTCCAATTATATTGGTCAAAAAGAAAGATGTTACATGGAGATTTCATACCAATTATAAGGCATTGGATGCAATTACTGTGAAGGATAGCTTCCCAATACCTATAGTGGATGAATTGATTGATGAGCTCCATGGAGCTCAATTTTTTTCTAAATTGGATTTAAGAGCTGGCTTGATGCATGAGGATGATAGGTATAAATCTGTCTTTAGAACACATCAAGGCTTATACGAATGGATGGTGATACCCTTTGGACTAACCAATGCACCGACAACATTTCAGGCTCTCATGAATAATATCTTTCAAAAACTACTTAGGAAGTATGTTTTGGTCTTTTTTTATGACATCTTGGTTTATAGTCCATCATGGGCCATGCATTTACAAAATTTGGAGAATGTCTTGCAATTGTTATAGCAAAACAAACTCTATGCCAAATTCTCTAAATGCTCCTTTGGCCAACAAGTGGAATATCTGGGCCACACGATTTCGGCAGCAGGCATTGTAATGGAGGAGAGCAAGATTAAAGCTGTCATGACTTGGCCCTTACCTAAAAATCTCAAGCAATTATGAGGTTTTCTCGGATTGACGGGTTATTATAGAAGATTTATCAAGCATTATGTAACATTGACGGGTCCACTCACAGAATTATTAAAAAGGACAACTTTCACTGGTCTGAACCCATTAAAAAAGCTTTTAATACTTTGAAAACAACTTTAACACAAGGTCCCGTCTTGCTTTACCAGATTTTTCCGTACCCTTTCAATTAGAAATCGATGCTTCTGGAATGGGTATTGGGGCGGTTTTGACGCAGAACAAACACCCGATTGCTTATTTTTCCAAAAAAATGTCTCCTACCATGCAAAGGCAATCAACTTATGTTAGGGAACTATATGCTTTAATGGAAGCTATGGCCAAATTTAGACATTGTTTCCTCGGTCACAAATTTGTACTTTGAACAAACTAGGAAAACTTGAGAACTTTAATGGACCAGAACTTACAAACGCCAGAGCAACAAAGATGACTTCATAAGCTACTTGGTTATGAGTTTTCTATAGAATACAAGCCGGGAAATGACAATATACCAACGGATGGACTTTCCATGTCATTTTATGCAGCTTAGTCTCAAGCAGTACCTACACTAGTGACTAAATTGCAACAAGCACAAGGTACAGAACTTGATTAATGCGTATGTTAACAACTCGAGTGGTGATTCTAATTATTCTATACATCAAGGGCTGTTATTATGGAAAAACAAAATTATAATTCCAGTGGGCCATGAGTTAATTTAGACTATACTAAACAAGTTTCATAGTTCAGTCATAGGAGGACATGCAGGTATTTCTCGAATGTTGGCGAGAATTACCACACAGTTCTACTGGAAAGGGATGTCCCACGAAATCAAAACCTATGTTCAGCAGTGTTTAGTTTGTCAACAAGCTAAGATCGCCACTACGCTGCTCGTCGACTTACTCCGGCCACTGCCAATTCCAGACTAGATCTGGGAAGACTTGGGCATGGAATTCATTACGGGTCTTCCTATATCTCATGGCTTCACCGTAATTTATGTCGTTATTGATAGGTTATCTAAGGCAACCCACTTTATTCCTATGAAACAGGACTTCACTAGCAAATCAGTGGCTGAACTATTTGTCAAGAACATAGTCAAATTACATGGGTTACCCAAATCCATAGTATCGGACAGAGACAAAGTTTTTACTAGTCAATTATGAAAGTTTCTATGGCATTTCAGTGGTATAATACATCATATCACACAAGCACAAGTATGACTCCATTTAGAGTTGTGTATGAGAGAGATCCCTCGAAGATACTTAAATATGTTCCTAAAGTTGATGACCCTCTCTCAATCCAAGAATAATTATTATCCAGGGATGACATACTACAGAAACTCAAGTTCAATTTGTAGCTAGCTCAGCAAGTTAAGAAGAAATATGCAGATAAAAAGTGCCTTGAGGTGGAATTACATATTAAAGACTTAATTTTGGTGAAACTGCAACCATATAGACAACATTCATTGGCCTTGCGCAAAAATAAAAAATTAGGCCTTTGATACTTTGGTCCTCCTTTTAAGGTGATAGATTGAATCGGGAAGGTGACTTACAAACTTCAATTACCCCCATCAACGAAGATTTATCCAGATTTCATATTTCACAATTGAAGTTATATCGCAGCCAACATGATCAACCATATATTCCCTTGCCAATATGTGACAGTGAGATTTCTCCTCTGATTTAACCAGTGGTTGTTTTAAAGTCCAGGACAATCATTTGAGGTGAGCAACAGGTGTAACAATCTTTATTTCAATGGGAAAATGGATCCAGAAGAAGTTATTTGGGAAGATAATATGCTGATTGTACGGGCTTACCCTCATTTCAACCCTGGGGGTAAGGTTGATTTCGATGGAGGGAGTAATGTAATGAGGGTGCAAACAGAAAATGGATCGGATACCGTTAGTGACAAGCCAATGAGAGGGAAACATGTGGATGATAACATGGACAACAAGAGAAACGCACAATCCAAGAGAAAGTATGGTTGAAGGACTACGTGACCTAACAACAGGGGTTTAAAAGGGTAAAACCGTTAGAAAAGAGAGAGAGATGAAAATTGTTGAATTCATCTCTCTCTACAACTCATTTTTTCTTATTTTTTGATATTTTTGTGTTCTGGACTTATACGAACCTTTGAAAGAAATAATTCTATTACCTCTCTATTATGTTGTTATTGTTATTTATTTTTTGGTATCTACGTTAATATTACATAAGTTATCTATTACTTTGTATCTACGAAGGACATCTAATATATAAATGTAATATATTGTTATCGGTAATAATTCAACTTAATTATTATCTCAAAAGAATATTCGTTAAATACATCATACTATTATGCACTATCTTCATGAAATATAATTAGTAACGGATCAGTCTCTAGTTATGAAAACTATGAAAATGATCTTTTTATATTATAGTTATGATGAAAAAATATTATTATGGGTGTTTTAACACTATTTAAATATTAAATTCATACGAGTTTATATTAATTTATAATTTTAAATAATGATTTCTTAATAAAAATTATATCATTTCATCTTATTGTATAATATTAAAAATTTAAATTTAATTATTTTATCATAATACCACTGACCCTTAAATATTAATATTTGATAATCATGTGCAATTTAAAAATATTGATTAAGATAACAATTATAATATATATTGTTCATAATAAATTTTAAAATATAGTTTATATATTATAATATACCATCATTGCCAATTTTAATTATAATTTAAGTAACGTAAATACTTACTATAAGTTTGGATCGTACAAAATAGCATCACACAAACCAAAAATTTAATTAAAAAAATATTGCTTAAAAATATTCTCATCTAATAGCTACTTAAAAAAGAAAAAAGAAAAAGTTTTAAGAAAAGCATCACATGCATAACTGCATAAGGACACCAAGAAACTATCTTTTTATTATCAACTGGAAAGGGATAGACAGTGAGATGACACGAATGTAAATAATATTCGAATCATAAAATAAGAGAAATTTTATTTTCACAATATTTTTAAACATTTATCCTATGACTTTATTTTTACTTATATATTATAATAACATTATATTTTTAGTATTACACTCCCAAGAAACATATTTTTTTATCATATTTTCTTATTTTGATAAGAATTTTCACGTTGTTAGAATTAATTTTCACATAAAAATATAAGATATATAAATCAATATTATAAAATTGATTTAATAAAATCATAATTGTAATTATTTATATATAGTTTTAATGTAAACGCGTTTTAGGATAAAAGGAAAATTTTCATTATTTTCAAATTACATATAACCAATGGATTAGGAAACAGCTATTTTTCTTTTTCAAAAGTCATGGTTATAACACGTTTTGTTGAAGTTCTATGGGTGGTGGATAGGTAGGTGGAGATAGGTACTAACTGTGATCTCATTCTCCTGTGACACTCTTCACAGCACAACTGAAGATGAGTTTATCTGCAGAGAGAAAACCACACGCAGTGTTTACCCCATATCCAATCCAAGGCCATATCAACCCGTTGTTCAGACTGGCAAAGCTGCTTCATCTGAGAGGCTTTCACATAACCTTTGTTCACACTGAATACAATCACAAACGCTTGATCCACTCAAGTGGTCCTGAAGCCCTTCATGATGGCCTTGCAGACTTTCATTTTCAGACCATCCCAGATGGTATTCCCTCCACAGATGCTGATGCACCTCGAGATTTGTTGGCCATTGATAAATCAGTGAAGGAGAACTTGCTCCTACCCTTTCGTGATCTTCTTGCTAGACTTCATGATTCTGCCACTGCTGGTCTTGTGCCTCCAGTTACTTGCTTGATTTCTGATGCTGCTTTGACTTTTACCATAGAAGTTGCTCAAGAACTTGCACTCCCTATTGTTCTATTTCCTCCTGCCAGTGCTTGTTCCTTGTTGTCTATTTTGCACTGTCTTACTCTTCTTGATAAAGGTCTTCTACCCCTCAAAGGTATCAATAACCTCTCTCTTTAATAAAGTGCTTCAATATAAGTAATACATGATTATAAGTAATTCAGATCATCTTCTAGACATCTCACTTTAGAGGGTTAAGAAAATATTTTGAATAGCTGATAAGAAAAACAGGTGCTGGTTAGATGACATTAGTAAAATTGATTTTGAATAACATTGATTTTATTAAAGTTCAAAGTATTTCTGAATATGAATACTCACTAAGTGTAAATGTTAGGTTTTGTTGAATAAAATCAAATATTCAGTTTTAAGAGTCTGTTGGAATAAAAAGATAAAGAAAAGATAATTAGAAATTTGTTGGAATAAAAAGATATTGAGAAGATAATTAGGAATTAGATGGAATATTTTGATATCAATGATATTTTGGGTAGTTATTATTTGATTTTGGGAGTATCTTGTGTAAAAATAAATTATATTCCTCATCTTAGGTATGACGAAGAATCAATAATATACAGTTTTATAGTTTTTGAGAAATTTTTTGTTATTAAATTGGTATCAAGAGCTAGGATTTTTTAGAAGAACTAGGGTTCTTCAGAAGAGTGAAAACTAGGGTTTGAGTGTCAGAAAAAAAGTGTGAATGATTGGTATAGTGAGTGTTGTTGCAGTTGTGTTACGACTGACAAAGAACGTCAGCTATGATATTTTGTATGCCCTGAAGAAGGTTCTCTTCAAAGCCCAGGTGTTTGGAAGATAGTGAAGGAAGGTTTTGAACAACCAGAGAACACGGAAGAATTGTCGATCAGTGAACTCAGGGAGTTAGAGAAGAAACATGAGAAAGACAGTGCAACTCTATTTTTATTGATTCGAGATGTAGAAAATTTTAACTTGGAAAAGATTTTTAGAGTCACATTGACATCCGATGCATGGAACGAGTTGAAGAAGGAGTACAAGAAAGATGACCGAGTCACACCGATTTAATGTCAGACACTATGAACCAAGATGAAGAGCATAAAGATGAAGGGGTCGAAAAAAGTGTCTAAATATGTCCTGTGTCTTGAAAACATGGCAAAACAACTTAATCAGAATGCCACAAAACAGATTGTTGAAAAAATATTGAGGTCATTAGCAAAATCCTTTAATTGTGTGGTGTGTGCGATTGAACAAGCAAAGGATTTGTCCCACCTATCAATAAAAGAGCTGATCAGATCTCTTGAAGCCTATGAACACTGAATGGAGAAAGATAAGGAGGATGAGGACACGAGTGCAAAAGTGCTCTAGACCGAGGAGAAGGCGCTTTATTCTTAGAATAATAGAGGAAGAGGACGTAATGGTCAGTCTCGAGGTGGATGATCTGACCGAGGAGCTCAAGGCGGATTCGGTAGTTGAGGTGACAAGAAGGAAAAAGGAGTTCAACAAAACTGGCAAGGAAGACAAGGTCTGAGAGGAGGTTAGTCAATGAACCACTTAAACATCAAGTGTTTCAAGTGTGGCAAGTATTGTCACTATGCGAAGGATTGTTGCTCGGAAAAATACTTTGATTGTGGAAAGGAGGGACATTATGCGAAAGAATGTCAAAAGGTAGGTGAGACCTATCTTGCAGAGGAGGAGGAAACTGGAGTAACATTGTTGGTGACAGAGCTCAACATGGGAAATAGTAGTGATGACGCTCGGGAATATACCGATGACAAGTCGGTATTGTTTTTAGATAGGGTGCAAGTAATCATATGTGTGGAGATGAGCACCTATTCAACAAATTGGAGAAATTTGAAGATGATCATGTTTCATTTGAAGACGCTTCGAGGGTCTTGGTAAAAGACTGAGGCACCGTTGGCTATTTGTAGAAGGATGGCCGAGTCTGGTCAATCCAAGATGTGCTTTATGTTCTAGATCTCAAGAGTAATCTTTTGAGTATGACACAACTGATGGAGAGAGGTTACTTGATTTTCACGAAAGACCGAACACTAGAATTGAAGGACAAGCTCAAAAGGTTGATTGCTCGAGTAAAGATGGGAAATAATAGAATGTACAAGTTACAGCTGAGAAGCATTCGGGAGAGAAATTTGAAATCAAATGTAGAGGACACATTGAAGAAGAATCATTAATCTGGTCACATGCATTTTTGTGGCTTAACCGAGTTGATTCATGATGAGAATCATGATATTGTCCAAGTTGATAAAATAAGCAAATAGAATTGGGGAGAATCAGAGGAAGACAGAGGAGACCGAGCTGTTGCAACACTAGTTGTTGTCGATGTCGAGCTACTATACCACTAATAACCAGTTCAGAAACCGAGAAGGTAGAAAGAACCGTGAAGTTGAAGAAAAACATTAAGAGTGTGATGCTCGAATTGCAGAGCATGGAGGAAAAATTTGCGAAGTGTGATGGTTGGATTACTGAGCATGGAGGAGAGTTGGTAACCATGTCTGAGCTGTTGTGGACAAAATGATCCAAGTTGTAATAGACGAGAAGGTCTGAGCTCTTGTAGACGAGAAAATCTAAGCTCTTCTTGAAGAAGAGAAGATCCGAGTTGAAATTGAGAAGAAGATCCGAGTTGTTATTGACAAGAAGGTTTGAACTATAGTTGAAGAGAAAAACTGAGTTGCTATGAATGAGAAGATCCGAGAATAGAATAACATATTGGTGATGACCAAATTGCTAAGCTATGACCAAGTTGTTGGTGTGAAGCAAGTGGATATGAAGTCAGCATTTCAGAATGATGTGCTCAAGGAGGAGGTTTGTGGTGAGCAATCACTTAGATATGTGAAGAAAGGCAAAGAGGAGTTAGGAATATGTTTGTCCCAAGAGGCAAAGAAGATTCTTAACAAGTTCAAGATGACCAATTACAACTCAATATCAACCCCCATGGAACCAGGGACAAAGTTTTCAAAATTTGATGGAAGGTGTCAGATGGTTAGTTGATTTATGGAGAGTTCGAGTTACTCTCATTAGAAGGCGTTGAAGCGAACTTTGAAGTATATTCGAGGTACACTGTCACTTAGACTGTTGTACACAAGGTCGGACTATTATCAAGTCATGGGATACTTAGACAGTGATTGGTGTGGAGATGTGAATTATCGGGATAAAGGATGGAAGGAACTCGAGGTGCTCAGGAAGATGACAAGTCGGCTAGTAGGAAACTCAAAAGTTTGGAGCTTGGAAAGTTTGAAGGTCAAGAAGTTTTGATGTACAGCAAGTGGATGATCAGTATCAAGCCGATCTCATGTTTTGAAGCTCAAGAAATTTTGGAACTAGTCGGAAAATGTCAGTGTCAAGCCGATCTCTTGGTTTGAAGCTCAAAGAAGTGTTAAAGACAACAAGTTGGGAGTTTGATGATCATCATCAAGTCGATCTTAGTTTTTGCTGAAGAAATTTAATTTTACGGGAGAGTTTGGTTGGATTTTGTTGAATAAAATTAAATATTCAGTTTTAAGAGTTTGTTGGAATAAAAAGATATTGACAAGATAATTAAGAGTTAGTTGGAATATTTTAATATTAATGATATTTTGGGTAATTATTATTTGATTTTGAGAATATCTGGGACTGTGTATAAATACACGATTGTATTCTTCATTTAAGGTATAACAAATAATCAATCCTGTTTTATAGTTTTCTGATAAATTATTTGTTATCACTAAATGCATAACAAATTATGCATATGTCACATTGATTTTCTCAAAAAGGATTGACTATTACTTGTTTAAGAGAAGCCAGACTAATCTATGATATACCGTGGGTAAGACCGATCAAAGGCTTGATATATTCTGAAACAATAATAGAAGGTAACAAAGTCCTCACAGAACTGTTATTTTAATGTTATCTTGAACTTTTTACTAATTGTAACTAATGAATATACGTGCTAATGAAGGAATTGTTTTTTTTTTTTTGTATATTGTGTATATTGTTTTTTTTTTTGTATATGTAACTTGGGATCTATTGTTGGTTTTTGTAATTATGATTGCAGATGAGAGTTATTTGACTAATGGGTACTTGCACGAAAAAGTGGATTCGATTCCAGGTATGAAAAACTTTATACTGAAGGACCTGCATGACTTTACAAAGGTAACAGATCAAAATGCTTTGGTAGAATTTCTAAATGTAACTGCAGAAAATGTGAAAAGAGCCTCTGCTATTGTTTTAAATACTTTTGATGAACTTGAGAGTGATGTATTGAATGCTCTCTCTTCAATGTTCCCTGCTCTGTACTCCATTGGCCCTTTCGCTTCATTTTTAAACCAAAGTCCACAGAACCACTTCACAACTTTAGGTTCCAGTCTATGGAAGGAAGAAACCGAGTGTCTTGAGTGGCTTGAATCTAAGGAACCAAAGTCTGTTGTTTATGTGAATTTTGGAAGCATCACAGTTATGTCACCAGAGAAACTTTTGGAGTTTGCTTGGGGTTTGGCCAACAGCAACAGACCCTTTCTATGGATCATTAGGCCTGACCTTGTCGTTGGTGGCTCAGTGATTTTGTCATCTGAGTTTGTCAATGAGACATCAGACAGAGGCCTAATTGTAAGCTGGTGTCCACAAGAGCAAGTGCTGAACCACCCTTCAATTGGTGGATTCTTGACTCATTGTGGATGGAACTCAACAATTGAAAGCATTTGTGCAGGTGTGCCAATGTTGTGTTGGCCATTTTTTGCTGATCAGCCAAGAAACTGTAGAAATATTTGCGATGACTGGGGCATTGGGATTAAAATTGACACCAATGTGAAGAGAGAGGAGGTGGAGAAACAGGTCAACGAATTGATAAGGGGAGAGAAAGGAAAGGAGATGAGGCAGAAGGCCATGGAGTTGAAGAAGAAGGCAGAGGAGGCCAGTAAACCCGGTGGTTCTTCATACATGAACTTGGATAAAGTGATTGAGGAGGTGTTTCTCAAAACAAAGTTAGATTAAAGTTCTAATATTCTTTTTCCAGCAATGCTGTAGTGTGATAGTTCATTGATCTTCTTCTCTTCGAATTTCTTGCTTTGTGAAGCAAAACTAATGCTTCAGTTGAAGTGGTAGTTGTATTTAAAGCATATATAAGCTATCTATTATAGCATTGTATTTATGAATGTTGACTGATACAATGATCCAGCTTATGATATAACTACAGATTACTAATCAGTTGGAGGTGACTCTTGGCTTGATACTGGCTGCGTTGCATAGTATGACCATTTGCTTGTAGCTTTGATTTATGAAATGAGAATGAAAAAAAAAAAAAAATGCTGAAACACGAGTTATTTTGTGCATATTTAGGAACTTGAAAGAAATGGAAGGCATGGAACATATTTCCTGACCAAATTTTTTACTGGATTAAAATTCATGTGTCCTACTAAATTGAGATTGACCTCCTTATTCACTAGTTTCACATAAATATAAAATGTGTATTTATAACAGAAAGTGTTTTGAGAGTTTGTATCCGCCAGCTAGTACTTTATTTAAATTACTTTTTAAATTTACTTAGTCTTTCATAAGCAGTTGAGTGCCTTGTTTAACAAGTTACAAGAAGAAAGGGTCATACCATGTAAATTCCAATGATGCAATATGATGAGTTCAATCAGCAACACTCCGTGATTGGTTTGTAAATGGTCAAAATTGGTTACTAGATGCAAAGAGAAAATAAAAACAAAGCCAAATCACACTGAGAAACACTTAATTTTTTGAACGAATTCACTTAACAAATACGATAACTTAGGACCTTTTTTTCTATTATAAAACTTTTAGACGTCATTGGCTGTAAAATAATTTTAGAATTTCTTTAAACAATCGACCACTGCTGCAAGACAATTGCAAACAGAAGTCATTGTTCAAGGAAGTGGCTTACATCTAGAAGAGAGATTCTATTGCTGATTTTAATGCAGATGACCACGGTATTTTCGGTAAAGTTTACTCTTTATTCCATTTTCTTCAAATATTTCCTAGTCATCATAATATGTTGGTTTCTATAACAGGTCAAAAGAATGGTAGGAAGTTCATCATTCAGCATAAGAATTGCAGAGAGAAACAGAAGGAAACAGCATAAGATGAATAACGTTCTCTTTTATGCAACAATATACTAAAGGTCTTGTATATCTTCAGACACTATTATCAAATTTGTTTAAAATTGTGCATCTCTGAACAAATAAATAAGAAAAAGGACAGTAAAGGAAAAGGCTATGCTGCTGAACAATAACAGAAACGTTGAGTCATCCTTTCTAGAAGCTTTGAAACAGAAATGATGAGCTGGTATTAGTAAGTCTTGCATTCTTAACCATTGATATCACCACAAGATGGGGAGCAAATGTTGATGAGTCCTAACTTAGAACAAATGATTTTGAAAGATTGAAAACAGACTTTAATATAAATGTTTACTAGTTTCTTAGCAGTGAAAATAGGAAGCAAATGAATGTTATTGTATGTAATTGTACTGTGTTATCTAAGGCTTGACAAGAAACTGAGAAACTTATTGTACAAAGAAGTATGTTTTGTTAGATACTAATGAGATGTATTGACCTTTCAATCAATCATATGTATTTTAGATATTTGTAAATGACTCCTCTCCATTAAAGGACAATTTAAAACCATTATTAATTAGAATAGAGACATAAAATAGAGAAACAGTGTGTGTTTCTAGTCAGGAAAACAAAGAAGTGGTAAGTGAAAAAAAAAAAATAGTAATCAGTCCATCTCAGTGCATATTTGTGTAAAAAAGTTAGTTGGGAGAGGTTCTTTTGTTTTCAATTAATTTGTATATTTTGATTCTTTTTATTGTCTTGTTAAATATCTATTATTAGAGTTATTTTGTATGTTGTTATCCAATTTTTTATGAAAAGGTTTAAAAAAAATTATGGTGTATTTATTAACTATTATTAATGAAATTTTTTATTGAATTAGGTTTTGTGATGTTAACTTCCTGTTTTTTTTTTTACATCCCATTGTTTTTGCATGTTATTATTTTCTGTTGTTTGATATTTTTCGATCTCTACCAACATTTATACATAAGTTACCTTTTGTTTGTTTTTTTTTTCTTGCAACAGGATAGATCAAAACAAATTCAATTGTGTGACCACGATGGGTCCCCTAAATCTGTCTTTGTTCCCCCACTAACTAATATCAAAGCTATGATCAATTATTCTAATTTGTGCTGTAAAGATAGGATATAGTGATGGTATTAATACCAAGATTGGATTCTACCAATTGCTTAATGTGGAAAATCCAAATAGAAGATTTAATATTTTGTACAGACATATTTAATCTTATTTAGGAGAAACCTATTTAAGAAAGTTGGTGAAAATTAAAAGAAATTAAATAGAAAGAATATTTATAAGATTAGATAATGAATAAACCAATCAATTTATCATGTATTTATTGAGACTCTAACTTGTAACTTATCAACGAGATAAAGTGAGTTTGTTGTTTGAATTTATCAATTTTTTTAAGAAGACATTCCTTATTAGCAAGCTAGTAAATATAAAGATGGTTCCTTTGTGGTAGATTATTAACAAAATGACGATAATATTTTATTCACACAAAATACTAATAACAAAATTAACAAATTATCTAAAACAATATAGATAATTTATGTTGAATCTCACAATATTACAATTATAAAAATGTATTATTCTTTCTAAAAAAACAATAAATAAGGGATTAATAATAATAAAATAAAAGAGTGATCAATAAATTGGAGCTAAACAGTAAAAATTTAAATAATTAGAATATATAAAAAAAAAATCGAGTATTTTTAATTAAATTTAAAACTTGCTGAAATAAAGTGCAGTATTAGTTAAATTCAAATTTGTTGAAATAGATAAACCTAAAATTAAAACGAATTGGATTGAAAGAATTACATAATGACAAATCTGGTAGCCAGTGACGTGGACGTGGACGTGTGCGTGAGTGAATTTGGGACAAATGTTAGTGACTAAAATAAAATTGTGAACAAAATAGAAAAATAAATTAATTGAAAACGAAAATTAAGTAAATTAAGTACTAGAATTAAATAAAATTGATAAATATGTAGATAATAGAAATTAAACAAAACATAAGATGAATAAAACATATCGAATAATATAAAACTGGAAAATTTGATAAATATTGTAAATTAAATAATAATAATAATAATATTAATAAAAGAACAAACTAAGTATTTATAATAGCTTCCAACTAAGCTCGCCAAACTAATATTATACAGGAGAAAAAATAAAAAAGTAAAATAGCAAAGCTAGCGAAGGTAATAAAATTTAAACTTATGCTGAAGAACAAAATTAGGAAAAGAAGATGATGAGAGAAGACGGACTCACCAAGAGAAAATAATTTGTGAATTAATTACAATAAAAATTAAATATTTTCTCAATTAAAAATTGTAAAATTGGATTATTGCTTCTGCAAAAGAGAGATTTGATTCTTTAGACACAGTTGGCTGCGAGTAAATTCTGGGATTGATTGGAGAAAATAATCTGGTTTCTTTTTTAATTTGAATGGTTCAACACTTATTTGCATTTAATTCTTAGATTTTGATACTAAAATTATGCAACAAATAAGTGAAATTGAATTATGCCAGCTCTATTTTTATGAAAATATTTTAAATGCATGGTTTATAAAAAGAATAATTAACTTCTTAGATTAAGAAATAAAGAGTAGAATGACATATATCACAAAATATAGTTAATCAATTTATCACTATAGAGATTGAGTTAGAAGATAAGCTACTAGTATTGTTACTGCTTAACTAGTTACCGAGACAAACAAATTAAAGATATTAGTGGTATCTCTAAGTAACTCTACTCAAGGATAGTTATTTAAATGAAAAAACCATGAAAGTAATGAGGTTAGCCACTCAAAATGAAGCCTTAATTATGAAGTTAAAAAAAAAATATCAACATAAAAATTCTCAAAAGAATTGATGAACTTAAGAAGTCAAGAAGAAAGTTAAGACCAAGGAAAGACATCATGTGTTTTCATTGCAATAAACTTAAACATGATTAAAGAGTGCAAATTCCTCAAGTGATAATGATATAGATAAAACTACTACTACAATTGTGTATGATGGTGAAATTGTTATTATTTATGATAATGACTCTATTGATCTCATTTGTCAATGAGTTTTTTATTATCCTACTTCATTTCATATGTTATACCACATAATAAAAATTTCACATCTTATACTACTTCGGATTTCGAGCATGTGAAGATGAGAAATTAAGGGATAAGAAAGGTTGTTGATTAAAGATGTTTGGTTAAAGACTAATATCAATTACAAGTTGCTTTTGAAAAGCATCAGACACATTCATAATATATATCTTAAATCAACCTCAGTATAGGTACTTGATGAATATGACTATCATAATTTATTTGGCGATGACAAATAAAAGGGTATTAAAGGGAAATTGATGGTAGCAAAATGAGGGAAACAAAATACATTTTATTGGACATATACAAAGTTGTCTACATATCAAGTGAATGAATCTAAGGATTATTCTATAGAATTATGACATAAACAACTTGGTCACGAGAAAAAGGCCTTGGTACTCTTGCAAGACAAGTGTTGCTTTCTACTAGAGGTACATCAATTAAAACTTGATTGTCCTATTAGTAAGCAACAGAGTTTCTTTCACACTTATTCTTTATGTAGAAGACGATATATCTTGGATTTAGTTCACATTAATGTTTACATTAAGGATGATGTTTTCTCTTTCAAGAATATTCTATCTAGTTTTTCAAGGATGATGTAATTTTAGGGTTATGATTTTATGAGAATCATTTGTGAAATATATACATATAAACATAACTTCGCTTTTCCATTCTTCATTCTTCTTTCCTTTTGGATTTTAATAATGTAATTTTCTTCCACATCTTCCCATAAATCTAGTTTTTCAAGATCGGATTGCATTCCCCCTATAGGTTGTTAGACAAATGGCATCTAGAGGAGG